CTGAAAAAAACAACTACAGAGAAATCATTTAAAATGCCTGGACTGTTAAATAAGAGCAGCAGCCTGCCCTGCTGTGAGTGTCATGTGGCTGGGACTCTGCTCTCTGATTGGCTGCAGATTGTTGCAGCCTCTTTCTGAGCTGCACTGGCTTTATCTCTAAACTGAGAGAAGGATGCCCCCCTCTGGTCACAACATGTTACTACAACACCTGAGAAACACACACACACACACACACACACACACACACACACACACACACACACAGCTGTGAGGCGTTCAGGAACCAGATCCCCAAACTAACAAGCTCAGCTGTCACACATCTGTCAGAGAGATAAGAGAATCTTATGGTAAATATTTACCATAGGGCTGCAACTAATTATTTTCATTACTGATTAATATAACAAGTATATTTTCTATTACAGGATCGATAGTTTTGTCTAAAATGTGTCAAAATGGTAAAAAAAGAAATGTGCATCACAAGTTCCCAAAGTTTAAATTGATGCCTTCAGGACACCTGCTTGTGATATGGGAAAACAGAGGATGTTTGGCAGTTTAGCTCGATAAATGATGTGAACTATTGACTGATTACCAAAGCTGCTGGTTATTTTTCTGATCACTGACTACGTTTTGACACTGAACATTTACTTATTATCGTAGTGACCGATAACTGGAAAGGCAAATTATAGATTCAGCAGCAGTTTAAGAGCCTATGTTAATGAAAAGAGTGGTGACTTTTTTATTGACTGACTTAAAATGCAGACACTGCGTTCGCTGTCAGCGGAGGGGGAACAAACAGAGCAAGTAAACAGAGAGTCAGCAGCACAAGTCTGCACAGTGAGTCTGTCAGCAAACAGCTCCGTGACTCGACACTAAGACACCAGACAGAGGCCAGGTCACATCTCAGCCTCGGGACGCTCCTCCCGGTGTGGTGCTCAGCAAAGAGACGAGAGAGTAACTGTTCAGACTGGCTAACACTCCCCGAGCCTCTAACCGTCCGTTCACAGACTGGACAGAACACATCAACTAATCAGTAACGTCTGTTACAAACCCAACACTCAGATCTCTTCACTGATTGGCCGCGGCTGCTTTCCCATGACAACTCTGTCCTTTCCCACAGCGATGAATTCCAATGTTGCAGCACCATTGTGCTCTGGCCACAGGGGCTCACTCCACCAGTGGGAATATTCCTGCCTCCAAGGAGAGTCTGCAGAGACACAGCACACACTGATACTGTACGACTCTGTGTGTGTGTCTGCTGCCACCCACTTGCAGCTCAATAACCAGTCAGAGTGGAGCTGCTTGTGTTGCTACACTATAAAAATGCAGCCACTGGGACCATGAGTGTGTGTTGCTGGAGTGGAGCTCACACAGCGAGCACTCATGCACAAGCAATAAAGCACACAGACGCACACCAGCCACGGAGTCATGACAACATACGCGCGCAGTTTTTAGAAAGTGTGTTGCTGCAGGACAGCGAAGAGGGTGAGAGAGCTGCTGCAAGTCCTCACAGAGAAGAACCCAAAGAAAGTTGGGAGGATTTTACATTAAAGTGCACAACTGCTGCAATCTGCATCATAACTAAGTCACATGTGAACACACAGACATGGTACACAGCACTTCAGATTCACTGGGACTCATACCTCTTAGGATATCATCATCTCTAATCTTTGTCACAAACAGACTCAGAGGCAACAGAACCTGCCTGAGAATTCTCCCGTTTCTACATGTTCTTCAGTATCACAGTAACCCAGTGAGAGCTGTGTGTCCATTTATGGTTTCACTGCCAACAGGAGCTGATCGCTGCTCATTCAGCTAAGTACACGTGGTGCCATCTTGTCTAAATGTTAAAAAAGAAGCTCCATCCAAAACTTGGATCATAATGTTGCATTAAGGTTTAGCATGAAACGCTGCTCTAGCTACACACATACACAAAGGTGTAGCATTAGTTTTAGCAGCTGTGACAAAGTGATGAACAAAAAGCATCAATAATCCAGTAATATCATACACGATGCGTAATGTGCTATTCTGCACAATGACTACTTTTACTTTTGGTACTCTAAGTACATTTTGATGCCAATACTTCAGTACTTTTAAGTAACATTTTGAATGCAGGACTTTTACTTGTACCAGTATTTTTTTACACTGTGGTATTGTTACTTTACTTAAATACTCTGAGTACTTCTTCCACCACTACATGTACAGATGTTCATCCTATGTTGACAGCCAGTGGACATACAAACAGATTATTGTCAGACTTTGAAAAGCCCCGACAGAAAACATTGATCAACTGTCCTTCATCCATTTTCTGTTGGCTGGTCAATGTCAGTGTCCTGAAACTATGATGTCACCTGCAGACAGGACAAAGGGCGAGAGAGCATAGGGAGAAAAGCAACAGGAGGAGAGAGAGGGGGACAAACGTCTGGTTACTGTCTGTGTGCGGTAAAGCCGGAAAATCTGTGACTCGTCGGCAGGAATATATTTAGCATGAAAGAGAGAGAGAATGTGGCGATAAGGGAAGGGACCCAGTAATGACGCTGGCTGAAAACAGTAAGGACAGAAATAGATGGATGACAGGATGATAGATGGAGGCACAGAAGAAGAAACGAACGAGAGGAGAGAAAGTGTCACTCAGGTCTGTTAACACAATCCTCCAGCAAGCTTTAAAATGTAATGCCGTACAACTGATCAACACAGAGTTGATCGGAAACTATTTTTATGGGGTTTAAACTCTGTTCCTCCGCGAGAGGATCTGGTGCTTTATCTGCCGCTTATCATTTAAAATGAACATTTACCTACTCTACTTTATTTACTACTATGTCATTGTATTGTGGTTAAATAATGGTCAACATATCCTGACTTTTATTTTATTGTAAGTACAAAATGAGCTTCAGAAACATATATTTCCCACAATGCAATCTGCCTGCACAGACATCCACATCTGACATCACAATCCAGGTTCATGTTTCAGTCTCACAGCACTTTTAGTTTGATTTGTCTGTCTTTCCTCATCACATGGTTGCTTTCTCTCCTCCGTCTCTCACCCACATCCTCCTCCCACCTCTCTCACCCCCCCCACTATGACCAACTCTTTTAAAGCTCTCTCCACCCTCTCTCTCTCTGATGAATCCTGTTTCGTGGGACGTCAGTTTCTCTCGTCCTGTCACTTTTCTGTCTGTGGATGATGAATGATTTCAGACATTAACAGGGTAACAACCATCATCTAGAATCGAACCTGGAACCTCCTTGCTGTGAGGCAACAGCGCTGATCACTGCACCACCATGCCACCCACAACAGTGCATCATTTAAATAAGACAGGAGCCCATCTACAAAGTGAAGGACCCCGTCTTAAGCTGCAGAAGGGACTGAGCTGAAGCTGCCAATCGATCAATTAACAGTTTGACAGTGACTCAAACTGTTTTCAGCTGATTAACAGGAGGATTTTCTTACACAAGTATTTGTTGAACGTTCCACAAATTTTGGGAGAAATTTTCAGAGAAAGATTTTTTTCTCTCCCACAAATATTCTGCAGCACAAAGTGATGCATCGTTTCTGAGTCTACAATGTAGGACGGACATTATCAAGTTAAAACCACAGATCTCCATGGTTACTGCTGTCCCAGCATGCATTGTGTTGGAGCCCACTTGTCAAGCTGCAGACAGCGGCACAAAGACTCTCGGCTGGAGCTTCGGAGAAAAGGAAAACTTCACTTCGAAGCCAAATGACAGAGACAGCGAAGCAAAGTAAAGCCGACCACTTTAGAACACGTAGCACCAACATGGCACGGAAAACTCCCGTGGTCCTGGACTCCCTGCTTCGACTGCAGCTTCATTCCTGTTTAGAGAAAACTGATGTGTCAACCTTAAAACTCAAGTCTTTGATTGGAAACTAAAGCTAATGTGAAACAAGGTGCTGCAAACTGTCATCTGAGTGAAAGAACAGGGAAAAAGCTTCTGTTAAAACTCAGATAAAACCTCTACAGGTGCTCGTCTCTTTTTGTTTATTCACCAATGATGTGGTTTTAGTAGGAAACCCACAGAAACACGTCCCATCAACCCCCCGAGGCCTTGCTTTTCTCTGTCTATCAGTATTTAGGACAGCTGAGGGCCACTTTCAGTCTCAAACAGTAATGCTCACAATCGGTTTATTCTTCATGAGCTGTGAAAACACATAGACGCATCAGGGTCAGTGACGTGCAGCATGGCCCACTGTCAATCCTTCCTCAGTGGGCCAGTGTCACATGACATCCCCCAAACTGTCTAGTGCATGACAGCAGATGGGCTTTACAGCTCCAAAAGTAACTGACTGTAAGCGAGGAGATGAAATCTGAAGTCGTTGTCAGATGGAAAAACAGATGGATCTCAGCCTGCGCGTTTCTTCAATTCTCTGTATTTTTAGCAGTCTTGACAATTTTGCAATTCAAGT